GATCGGAAATTTTACGGGAAATTCAATGGTGCTTTCAAAACTTAAATTTCAGGACTCGCTTAGAAAATATTCCACAAAGACTGAGAAAGGCACCGCGTAGTCATCTAGTGATCGACATACGTCATTACGCAGTTTTCAGTGGGGAGCGTCCAAAAAAGTACGTCCATTTTTAGACAGTCCCCAAGACTGTCTCTAGCAAGGGGCAAAGTCCCCCCCCCCTTCTTCATTCTATATAGCACAGAGCGGGCCTTGGAGTTTGTGGCTGGCGTGTTTTTCCTCAGATTTATTCGGCAAATTACAGAGGAGCTCGGCGCCTGCGAGACTCAGGGTAGGCCAGCCCCAGTACACGCATGCGCTGCAGGCAAGATGTTGCCTACCTACCAGGCGCTATGAGAGCTAGCATTGGCTGAACTTGGTAGGTTCGTAACGGCGAATGATGGACGTACTTTCTGGATGATACCAAAGAAATGGTGGGATAAATTTTGATGTGTTTTGAAATACGAAAATTCCAAACAGTTTTTTTTTTTCTGTTTTAACAATTTGTCTGACGTGAATCGGGTGTTTCCCGTGCACGCGCCGGTGCTGCGAGGCGGCGCTCTTGGAGGAGCGACGTATTACTTCCAATTTCGCTCCTTCTGCAGGGTGACGCTTGCTTTCGTCGCTTTATTTGAGGTAAGATGTTGAAATATTGCTTTGTTTGACACTACCCTGCGGTGTTACCTACGTGGTCACGCTCCCATGTTAAATCATAGGCCACAAGGAACGTGTTAAATGACGACCGTCACTCGGAAGTAGCGGCGATCCAAAACCATCACCCGTATGAAGCGCTGTTCTCGAAATCATAACTTAAAAGGAGTGGTGGGAGGAACGGACATCGCTTTAATTGTGCAACAATGAATTCCGTCTCAGTCACTCTGTTTGGATGAGACTCGTCACTCCAGCATTTCTATAGGGTCCGATCGTCCTTGACGGTGGCGAGTCGCGTCCAGTCTTCCCCCCGGAGTCGGGGCCTGGAGTGTTCTCGCGAGCGGCGAACGGAGAAAATTAGTCGCCCCTAAATTGACAGCGGAATTGACGCGGGAAATGAAGACAGCTTCGCCAGTCGCCCCGCTCCGGAGGGCAAAGTGTCTCAATCAGTCCCCAGCTCCCCTCCCCTCCCTTTTTCCCAATCCGCTGCGAACGACCGAGAAGAGGGCGCCCTACTTTCTGATGGTTTGAAATGAGACGGAAGCTTTCTTGGGGACGCGGGCTGATTTCCGACCGAGGCTCGGTGCGCTCACTTCGAAAAGTCGCTGTGAAACACCTCGAAAGAAAGAGTTTAGATAAGGTACATAAAGAGAAAAATCATAAAGTCACAAGTGTTAAATGTTCGACAGCTTCCCTCCCCTCGTCTGCAAGGGGGCAGTGGAAGC